AGATGCCTCTAATTTCCACTAAGCCAACAACGACAAAAACAAGAACACACCAGCAGTCTGCCGGGAAAGTGTAATGGAAAAGATGAACAAAGGTCCTCCTCCTAGTGCGTCACCTCGACAAAATGAAGGCAATGGAAAGCTGAGTAGAGTGGGGAAAATGGTGAAAAATCAAACAAAGTTTTCATTTTCATTAAAAATGTGAAGAGCACTAAGGTTTTTAAAGATGCTTGAGGAAACTAGATCTTTTCATTGTAAGTTATAGTTTTTATAAAAGGAATCTTCAATAAATATGTAGTCAGTATTCATCAGTCGACACTATAATTAAAATAAAATGTAAAAATGTACATAGATCAAGTAACATTAAAGTGTCTTAGATTTTAATAAAATATGTAAAAGCCCAAAAATCCCCAAACTAGTCAAACGAGATAAATTTATGGTCCATTGTTGGTGAAAAACTTCAATTTGGTCTCCTAGAGTCGGGTGGGGGAGGACAAGTTTTTATGTCAAATTTAGCATGCCGGGTGACTGGAAACTTTTTGTGCGATGGCATCCTGTCTGGTCCTTGGACCAAGGAAGAGTCCGGCTAGAAGCAGAGCTGCATCCGGCGGAAACAAGTACGACATTTTTGCCAACTGCCACAAAATGGAACATCCTCGAGACCTGCTTCAATTATGCAAAGAGATTTGCCAGGATCTCTCTCACAGAGAGGACTTGTAGGTGGGTCATCTTTTTGGCAAAATTTACATTTAATTTTCATTATTAATTATGCAATTATTCAAGGGCCAAGCAAATGTTGACTCTAGGCCAGATGTTTGCTCATTATGCCTTCGGTGTGTGGGGGTAGACATTGGTAGTCTATCTTTTTACTGGAGCTATTATGTCAATAAGTTAAATTAGACAAAGGAGAAGGGCATAGCACTCTAAACAATGAGCTATTTCACATGAAAACATTAATCACTTGCATGGGCCTCTTCCGACTATCGCCCCGACAATGTTTGCAAACAATAGCTTCAAGCCAAACGGAGCCAAGGAAGAAATTCCCGGAGAGATTTGATTTGCTTATCTCTGCTCCAAAGCGGAATTTTCTTTCCACTCGGATGATAAATTCAAAAGGCATAAGCCTACAAATTGATGAGTCTATGGATAAGCCAAACAAAAGGCCAATACCACGTGCCAAACTATTTCCTATGTGTTTCCAGGACTTTTAACGCAGACATATGCCGACGAAATCAGTTAGGAAACAGGACTTTTATTTATACGCCAATCAGTATCAGAGGCTGATAAGTTGATATTGCCCCCCAGCTAAGAATAGTGGAGGGAATCAGGGCAATTCCGAGGGCGAAAATAATTCACAGACGTCGCTAAAGTCAGTAGTTATAAATTTGGGCAGAATCATGCTTAGTTGGGGTATAAAATTTTTTTTTCGGATTAAAGCACTTCACTATAACGAAACAAAACTCAAAGAACGAAACTAATTTAATTTAAATTCCATAGCGTAAAAAATTAATATTAAAGCTTAGCTGAATCGATTGTTCCACAACAGACTGGTGGGGGTATATAAAGGGCGAACATTTGGTTTGTTTTAATTTTACTAAGAACTAGACTAAAATGAAGATCTTTATTCTGCTCTTGGCTATTTTGGGCCTTACTCTGGCTGAACCCATGCCCTCTTCACAGAATAAGATTCCAACAAATAATGTCAATGCTCCGCCCCAAGCACCGGAGGGTTAATGAATTACTTATACAAGTAAATGATTAAAAAATGTTTCTTATTTACAATTGTAATTAATCAATGAAACAATAAAATAGTCAAGTTTCTTTTATTTGATACCTGATACTAATCCTTTCCACCCACTCCCGTTCTTTCTAAACAGATTATTTTTAAATAAATTAACCTTTTAAGATATAGATTATAACCAACAAGAAAGGAAAGCTAACTTCGGGCGGAGCCGAAGTTTATATACCCTTGCAGTTAAAACCGGATATATATCGCAAACATCGGATATAGTTGGCCGATCCTTATGGGAATAGGAATATATAATCCAATTTATTACAATACAAAATCTAAAAAAAGTCCCAAACTTCTATCTTCAAAAATACGAAAGTTGATATTTCTACCAAATACCATTTCCGATCGTTCAGTTATATGGCAGCTATGGGATATAGTCGGCCGATCCTAATGAAATTTGGTAGGTTGGATCAACTGACCAAGAATTAAATCTGTACTAAGTTCCAGCTTTCTATCTTCAAAAACACGAAAGTTGGGTCATTTCCGATCGTTCAGTTATATGGCAGCTATAGGATATAGTCGGCCGATCCTTATGAAATTTGGCATGACGTAATGTTTTGCCAAAAATAGCTCACATGTCAAATTTGAACTCTCTAACTCTAAAAACACCAAAGTTATACCATTTCCGATCAATCAGTTATATGGCAGCTATAGGATATAGTCGGCCGATCCGGGCCGTTCCGACTTATATACTGCGTGCAAAGGAAAGAAGGGTGTGTGCAAAGTTTCAAGACGATAGCTTTAAAACTGAGAGACTAGTTCGCGTAGAAACAGACAGACGGACAGACAGACGGACAGACGGACAGACGGACAGACGGACAGACGGACATGCTCATATCAACTCAGGAGGTGATCCTGATCAAGAATATATATACTTTATAGGGTCGGAGATGTCTCCTTCACTGCGTTGCACACTTTTGACCAAAATTATAATACCCTCTGCAAGGGTATAAAAATTGTGTAGCCTACATTCGTTTTGTTTTCCAGAAGTATAGTAACCAACTGCCAGTTACTTAGAAAAGAAAGTTATAATGCGACATTTACTGAAACTCCAACAGTTGATTCACCTTTGATCCTTTACAAAATTTTAAGGTTAGAATAATATGTAAAAAGAACTTTATTTTTATTATGGCGACAGTCAAGAGAGCAAATTAAAATATAGGGTAAAGAAAAATATAAAATAAAAAGTAATATTAAAAAAAATAAGAATAATCAAGAAGAAACCAAGTCAAGGTCCTAAACACAATTTCCAAAGAATTATGATGCATAAAAAAAATGTGTTTTCAATTACGACATGCTCCAAAAGATGAATACCAAACACATATATATGGTACAAAAAAATATAAAATAAAAAATTATATAAAAAAAAGAAATAAGAAAAATCAGATGTCAAATGCACACAATTGATCCAACTAAATATATGGTACAAATAAAATATTAAAAAGTTTTTAAAAAAAAAGAAATAAGAAAAATCAGAATCCAAACAATCATAGTAAAAATAGTATATTGATGATACTACTAATACTACTACTTTATACTACGATACTACTTTATACATTCAGAAATTCAGAGAAAAACAATTGTCAAAAAAAATGTTGAGCCAACAGAATAAACTCTGAGACTGACTGTCTCATGGGCTGGGAAACTCTTTTTATATGTTAGGTTGGCCTATCTATTCCGATATTTCTATTTCTATTCCGATTTATTCCGGTAAAAATAATAGATTATACTTGCATACCGTTTGGTCACACTACTTTTAATATGCGAAAATCCCAAGCGCATTCAAAAAGCTTTAAGAACATTTATTTGGGCGGCCAACCTTTGTTTACTTTAAAACTGTTTACAAAAATTGAAATCTATCAATTGTTCTGCGAATTTGTTTACGAATAAAGAAGGGTTCTTAAATAGCCTGTGCTGTATTCTTGTCAGAATTTCTTATTTTCTCAGGCATTTTTCCCATAAGACACCCGACCTAACATTCATGCAACATATAGAATGATATGTAAGTCCCAAAGAATGTCAGATCCCTTCGTACATCCCACAAAAAGCCTCAAACGAATTGGGGAAAGCGAAAAAAAGCCCTTAGAGATGGGAAATGGAGAAGCAAGCTTGGCGCGCACGATGATAAATAACAGATGAGCAAAGGGTGTCATCGTTGGCTCCAGGGAAAATGTGGGGGAAATTGGGTTTGTTGGTTATTGAATGTACGACATTGGAGGCAACACTTTCTAAGGAAGTCAACACAAGATGCCGGTACAGGCGACAAACAAAATAATTCAGTTTGAGATATTTATAGGTTAAAAATATTATGGTTTTGTGTTTTATTTTTTATTCTATTACCATAACTCTTAACGTAATGGAATTTTCCAGAAAATATGAAAGTTGAACCCTTTTTATATGTATTCATAAAATTGTCTATAAGCTTTTGCCGTGTGGCGAAAATAATAAAAGTAAAGTGAATAAAAAAGTACTCATGCTGAAATGTCTGTGGGAGCTTCTTTTCTTTCTCCGTCGACAGTTGCAGCTCCTGGTGAAATTTCCCAAATACATTGACTGCGAGAACGTCATGAATATTAAATTGCAATTATTGCCACTGGCAATGTGTTGTCATCGTTCCCGTCGTCGTCTTCTGACTTGGCAGAGTCTGATGTCGGTGGGTCCGATTGTGAGATTGTGAGTCTGCCAGTGGGTTGTTTGGCCAGATGTTTCACTTGGCTACCTGCATCGTATCTCGATTTAGTTGAAGACTCTTTGAGCTTAATTAAGTGCACTTTAATTAAGTGAGGAATCAAGCCAGAGCCTTAAACTCCGAGATGCCCATGTGGGGCGAGAAGAGTTTCCGTTTGTCCCAATTTCAGCCTCAAACTCATTGATTGATTAATGGCCCAGAGATAGTCGGGAGGAAAAAAGTGGGTGGCGAAGACTACGAAATGGCAAAGTTAAAAATTGGCCCGATGCTCTCAGCTTGATGTGATTGAGAATTTGATTTATTGGCAGCAAACTAATTTTGCCCAACGTCAGAAGCAGTCATCTGGTTGCAAGTTGACACGTTTCGTTTTTGGTATGCAAAAATCGACAAAAAAAAATCAGTCAAATATTGATTTTCAAAAAAAATTGTAAAATATATAAAAATTTGAAGTGAGCAAAGATTTTATGAAAAGTAGGCTGTGGATTCTAAAAATTATCAAACTGTATAAAAATAGAGCTACATTCCTCAGTTTCAGTTTTGTAGCTAACGTGTTCGAACGTCTTAAAATTTCCCTCTATATTTTTTGTACCTCTGGTTTTCTTAAAACTTTCTTAAGTTTTAAAAATTTTTTGTAAACCAAAACAATGTTTCGGAATCTTTGTTTTGCCGTGCCGGTTATTGGTATTAATATAGCATAATATAATAAATTAATTTTTCATAAATTTCTCTTATTTAAAGGTAATAGATTGAGATCTGCTTGTAATATTTCTGGGATAGTTCGAAAAGTAAGCAAGCCATCTTTATTGAGTCTGCCATTAGTGACAAGTGTTGAGCAAAAAACCCACTTGGATCCCCGGACCCAGTTTGAGAAACCGGAGACTTCGAATTGGAACTTCGCTAGACAGTACAGCACAGCTGATATTAAATTCAGCAAATATATCGAGAATCAATGGGAACCAAAGACCCCTCCCCAGGGATTGCTGCAGCCGGATGAAGCCATCTTTTTATTAAAAAAATGCCAATCTGCCAATATTCATTAACCATATACCATATGTCAAAACTCTATGCATGGATTTATAAATTTTGTTCTAAATAACTTTTAGTAAAGACAAAATTATCCATCAAGGCCATACGATTTGTTTCTATTAATGGTATTGGGGTTTTTATTTATGGTTATTTTACGGGAAAATAAAATCTATTTCGCTGTGATATATTGATATTGCAAATCAATATGCCTATACATTTTTATAAAAATGGTATAAGGATATAATAACCGATTATCTTTATATTGCAATTGAAATATTGTAACATATATTGTGAATATATATTACATTCTTAAAAATTCAATAAAAATATAAAAATTGAATGAATTTTAAATGTCATGCCCATTCCAATTGACATTTTTGTTAAAACAGGACTAGGGTGTAACGAAGCATGAAAGTTTTTATAAAGACGGCATGAATTATTTTTTTTTAAGACTAGGATGTGTGAAAAAAGTTATGCCATGCGGCAGCCCGCATCGTAATTAAAAGTAGAAAGTAAGAAATTAAACATCTATGAAAAAGAAATGGAAAGAGCAAATCAAATTAAAAAGTTGCATAACCCCCCTATTGTGGCTTTATAACCTTGGGCTGGCACATCACATCATTTTTCTCTCGATTTTTCCTTTTTCCCCCAAGAAACGCATACATGTGATGGCGAATACACATCCTAAGCCTATTGTGTTAGGTTTTGGCTTTTGTGGCTCAGCTTCTAAGGAAGCTTGGTCGAGGGAGAAACTGTAATTGAATTTGGCCTTTGTTGACAAACAAATTATTGTTGACTTAACCAACGAGGCCGTAAAAGAGTAAGAACCCGAATTATGTTAATTTTTTTGTTCTGCCCAAGAAATTGGAATTTAATTTAGTTAAGGTACAATTCAATAAATATACCCTGTAGTACTGAAATTTCGTTTACCGAATTTTCAAGGCATGTAAAAACAAATTTTATTTTGAAATTTAGAAAAAAAATTACAAGTATAGACATTTGTGTGTCAAGTCAAATATAAATTTTCAGCCTAAATTATATTTTGGAGGTCTAAATAATGAATAAAATATACATAGATAATAACTTTTTGGGACTGTTCGAGAACTATCAAAGAAAAGTCACGTATGTATGTTTCGGCTGGTAAAATCATATGAAATCCTTCAAGAGCTTTCTGAACAGTTCCATGAAAGTTTATACTCCAGGGTAGTTAATAGCAGCTTCAACACGCCCACGCAACATGGAAAATGAAATAAATTGAAAGCCCTGTTGGTCTGGACGTGCCGTCAGAAGCCAAAGGACCAAAAAGCAGCTGAAAGCCTTTTTCCATAAACGAGTATCTATAGATAAGTATCATCCGATGGTCACGTTGGAGTTCTTCGGCAGTAGCCCCACTGGATAATAATGAAAATGCTTAATATTCCTTCCGTAAATAAAATACGTATAACCGGATGGCCCTAGGATGGCGAGTGTCGTCCGTTTATTGTGGAAAAGATATTCTTACGTAAATGGAAAATATTTTAATGAAATTTTAAATGCCAATCAATGGAAAATCGGAATAAGCTGGAACTTTTCCGCGGCTCCCCCATTGTAATACTTTGGGGGCGAAGAAATACTTTTAATTGGAGGATCGAGATGCACATTAACCGATTGCCGCAATCCATTTAGCTGCGAAGAGTCTCAACTTTACGGCAACTTGGAAACTTATTTGTGGCTTGCGGTTTTAAATTGGCTTGAATACCTTTTGTGATATTAAGGAGAAGCTATTTACACTTTACAAAATAGGATCTGGGACTTGAAACGAAATAAATTCCAAAGTCATTGGCGTTTGTATAAATGTATCATTATTTATCTCAATGAGCTCAACTGGCTCATTGGAAGGAGGTCCAGACTGAAGCAAAGAGTCAAGCTCCTTATATATAAGGCCATTGTAAAGCCAGTCTGGACCTATGGTATCCAGCTATGGGGGACGGCGTGTCTAAGCAACCGAAGGATCATCCAGATCGCCCAAAACAAGGCCCTAAGAACTTTAACTGGAGCTCATCCGTTCCACGACAATGCGATAATCCACGCCCAACTGAGAGTCCCATATGTGAGCGAAGAAGTTCAGCGATTCGCCAATAGGTACGTGGAAAGGCTGGACCGACATCCTAACCCTGAGGCCATCAATCTTTTGGACAACAGCTACACCACAAGGAGGCTGAAACGGACCCACCCATTGGACCTCTGCCACTCGGGCGAAATAACTTGAATTCTATCGCTAAGGTTTACTGTTAAAATTAGTTTCCTAGGATAAGCAAACATTGTACTACTCAATATTTCATTAAGTTAAGGTCCCATTATAAAAATTAATTATTGTCCATATCTCCGGACAGATTTTAAATATAACTATTGATTGATTGATAATAAAAAAAAAAAAAAAATTTATCTCAAGTGTAGGGTGGGAGGGCCAGGGCCAGGTTAATAGCCAACCCTTGAATATTTTGGGGCAGAGACCACCTGATCCTTTTACCCACCGCAGGATACACAAGCATTGGCAATGGCATTGCCTTGCCGGGTTATTTATGATAATTCAAAGTAATATCCTGCAGCAATTTCATCAACAAAGACACGGCGGCTGTGGGTAAGGCGACGAGCTCATGTGTAAATGCAAATATCCTACCACCGAGGACGAGGACGAGGACGAGCCACAGCCCCATATGCCTAACCTGGAAAGTACTAAAGGACCTCGTCAAAATGGCTAAAACGTGTCAAATGTGTGAAAATTGGGAAAATTTGTTTGTCTAATTGGGAGGGAAAACGTGATGGCAGGCAACATTTTCACTTCAAGGTCTTTAATTTATCTACAGGTGTGAGCTTTCGACTTTCATTAAACGAGAGAGCCATTGAATTTGAATGTCTGAATGGTATTTGAATTTAATTTCAAGGCATAAAGTGACATTTATGCCATGTGTACCTTTTATGTGTACCTCCCACAAGGACTGAGTCAAGGTAAATTTATTCAAACTGTTAAAGCCACCTCTAGGAGTTGAAATAAAAACGTTTAAGGATTTTCTTATTTTATTAAACAAGCTCGCATCTTTCGATGAGTGTGCGTGAACATCTACAATTTATGATTTCACACTGAATTTCACTGACGGGCAACATGCTATTCAATTATGTCGACAAACACACATTGAACACTAATAACAGACTCCACGTCGTTCAGATCCTTATAGATGTGCTCCCAATATTGGCCGTTTTAAGATCAATTGAGACTACTTTTGATCTGCGGGACAGGCCATTTGGTAGAGGAACTGGACCAGGGTACGGGTGGGTCTTCCTGTCATACGTTTTACGGTAAGATATGGTATCAGACCGTGTTTGGTGAGGAGCCCGGTACCTCTGGTATCTAAATGGGCCCAGTCCACGCAGGGCACAAGCTCATGGAGGACGGCAGCGGCCAGACAAGAGCAGGCCAGACCGCGGCCATCGTTGCTCAGGTCGTAGCCCATCTCATCGGTGATTTGCTTCCTATAATAGTGCCACAGTGGCAGACGCCAGACACGATCGCCAGTGAGGGCGCCCGCCGACTGGAACTGCTTCCAGATGTAGTGAGAATTCGAAAAGATGCCGGTAGCACCGCCGCCAAAAGCCTTCTTCACGCCCTCGCCCAAGGTTGCTACATCCACAACCAGGCGGGGCTTGTAGGACGACTGTCCGTAAAGCAGAGGATCGGACATCACGACTACACCGGCCTTGTCCAGATCCCTGACTGCCATTGACCTGCCGTTGAGCAGGGTGACCACATCGCCTGGCTTGCAGGCCATGCCCGAGGGCATGTTCTCGCACAGGGGAATGATGCAGCACACATTAATGGGGAGGGACAATGCTGCGACGCACCGCATCATGGCGACGCAGGCGGCGGCTCCCGACATGCAGGCTCGGTACTCGTCCATGCCCTTACAAGGCCGCAGGTTAAGCGCGCCAGAGTTGAAGGTGACGCCCTTGCCCAAGAACAGGATGGGCTTGTCCTCGGGATTGGTGCCGCAGTAGCTGATCTCCATCAGCACGGGCGGCTCACAACTGCCCTTGGCTATCATGAGGAACGAGTTGAGGCGCTGCTGCTCGATCCACTCCATGGTGCGTATCTCCACTGTGATGCCGCACGGGCACAGGGCATCCACAGTTGCCTGGGCGAACAGGGTGGGGGTCATGCAATTCGCCGGAGCGTCGCTTAACCTTCGCGCCAGGTTCTGTGCTTCCGCCTTGAAGATACCTCGCGTCCAACTGTCCACATCCGGCGAGTCGTAGAGGTCCAGTTTCGGAATGTTGGGACGTTCGCGCTTCGACATGGTGTCGGAGTAACGCCACACGGCCAAGGCAGCGCCTTCGGCCGCCTGTTCGGCATAGTCCATGCCATCTACAAATACTTCAGTGCATCCGATCTCCTAGAGGTTTACATTGAAGAAAATTTAATTGAAGGAGCCCTGAGGCCCATCTAATCTTACCTGCAGGGAACGGGCACCAATGCCGGCTGCCACCCGGACATTCTCCATTCCCTCGTCCAGCATCTCCAGCTCGTTAAAGCCGATCCCCTCAAGGCCGACACCCACGATCGCCAGGCTGCGGAACTCAGGATCGATGTTGTTGAAGACCTTACCGCGCCCCAGGCGACCAGTGAGCTTTGTCTCGCATATTAATTCGGTTAGCTTGCCTTGGACCCGGTCGTTGACCTTCTCACCGGAGGGCGTTAGCTTGGGGTCCTTGTCGCCCTCCTTTTGATAGACACCGATCACGAGGCCACGCCCGCTTCGCCCCTCGCCACAGGCATGACGAACACTGTGTAGATGGGGCAGGCGACGGTGGACGACCGTCTTGAGGAGGAAATTCCGCATCTTGTTCATCTTGTTGATACCTTTGCCAATAATTTTTAATATCCTAAAGCTAAATTTTAGATATCCAAATCAAATGGGTCAAACCGATTTAGTAAGACTGCGAAATTTCGTATGTGCGCCGAAGAAAGCTTAATCACAATGCTAAAGTGGGACCACTCAACTCATGGATCAGAATTATTTGGAATTGAACATGTATGTCTCTTCAACAAAAAAGTTCACGAACATAAAATACAGCCACAAAGCCACAAAATACAACAATTAATTTTGATGAAAAAAATAATTTTTTTTTCGATATTTTCGAAACCGAACTAGGCACACGACACTTTCGATGCAAGATGAAGACTGAGACTTTTACTCAGCCCAAGGCTCAGTGGAAAACAATACCCATTCAAAGTTTATTTCCTGGCCTGCTTTTTTACTTTAAAATTTATTAGAATATTACATGGCCTACTCCTTCAGCTATCATTATTCCTTTAATTTTAGTCCCTTTTTTTGCAGAATATTCATTTAATATTTAAGCAATAAATTGCGGTTTATCCAAGCGAAAGAAATAATTTCTACTGGCAGCTGTTTTCTCTCGCATAATTGGAGTCGACCGAATGAGTTAAGCGGCTAATTAAACGCTAAACTAAGCTCAGTAATCTCATTAATTAATGTAAATACCTGGCATTAATTATATTGGCTAATAAAGAGAATGCCATGACATCAGAGTTTATTAGCGTTTACGCTAGAACTATCAGCTTGATTAACTTTCGTCAGAAAAATCATTGATGTTTATTATACATTGATTGGCAAAAGTTAAAGCTTTTAAAAGGATTGGTTATCCTACATCTGAAGATCTCCTTAAAACCAATAAATTAACTCACTTAACATCGAATTCCTTGCCAATTTTTCCCCCATAATCGAATGGAAATGTGATTTTCAAAGCGCTTTTAACGCTTCCCCGGAATCCTTGGCGTTTCACGTAACTGAAACCCAAACAAGTGGCTAAAACATTATGTATCTGTTGTATTTCTAAGCCTAAAGACAGCACCAACTTAACACAGTTTTCACTTAAAGTTGCACGAATAGTTGTTGCCTGTTGTGTGTTTTGGTTCATAATGTTGCTGCTGGCTGATTTTTACCCTCTTCGCCACACTTGAGTTGGCATTTTGAAGAACTTTTCGGCTTTGGCGAATCTGCAGGATGCCGCTCCGCCGGAATCATGCCATAAAATGGTGTTGATGTTGGCTGAGTGTTTGTGGGTTTTTAGATGTGTGTCTGTATGTGGGGGGGAAACACGGCGGGGGGGCTTTTTCTGTATTAGTGTTGACAACATTTTCTGCCAACAATTTCATTACCGCCACATTTAAAGTTTTGCCAAGCTCACATTGAAAATGAGACAGCACAAGATACATGGCTGCAGATGGAAGTACTGAGAAAAAATGCTTAGTATTTGTTTAGAATTTAATATAAAATATTATTATGAAACGTTTTAGATTAGCTATTTTGAAGATTTTATTTCTTCTAAGTACAAGTTTAGATAGGATAAGTTTTTAGTGATTTTACTTATTTGTTTCAGTGATAATGAATGAATGTCGGCCATAAAAATCGCGTTGAACTCTCGCTTATGACTAAGCCAGGCAGTCGCTGCTGTTTCTATTTGTTCAACAGTCAGGCTGTAAGGCAGGACATCCATCCTGCATCCTTCTGTGCCTTCTGTGTCCTCCATAGAAACCTACTATCCACTGGAGAGCTAGAGCTCGTTATAAATGGAAAACTTTTCCCGCTTTCTCAAGTGGTTTTTCTGTATTTTTACTTTTCCGTTTTTGGCTGTTGCTTTTAGCTTTTTTATTTCACATTTGATTCGAAAAAGTTTTTTGCGCTTGTTTATTTTACTTTTTAATGAGAAAGACATGTTGGGATATATATCGAGATCGCATGTTTCTGGTATTTGACGATTAGCCATGTGAAATGGTTGGTCAAGTTTCCCTCGAAAAACGGAGCAACTTTTCTGGCCCCCATTTTCCAGCCGGACCAAGTTCCGGAAAAAGTTTCCCAACGCCAAGGGAACCAACGTAAAGGGGTAGGGAAATTTGTCAAGTGGCAATTTCAGGCGGTGGCAAGCGCCTGTGCAACAGTTGAACTCACATTCCAAAAATTCTTGCAGCCCAAAGAGAGGTGGAATGATGTCTGTCTGCATAATATTGATTTCCCCATCAGGGATTTTTTTTGCTTGCATTCTGCATGACTTCTGTCAGGACTTATCCTTTTAGCCTTTGGCCGTTTCTAGTCCAATCTCGATTTCTAGTGGCTGACTGGATAACACACAGTTGGAGTGTTTTTAATTTCAACTTTCCTTTGCAATGCATCCGCACATCAATGGGGGATCAGATCCAAAGGATGAAAAGTCACTGAAGAACCGAAGGACTGATATACTGAAGGACCCATCAACCGGCATTTGTGCACTCGTCTTATCCTATTTTAGCCTTGTGCCTCCCCGCTGGCTACTATTTGCATTCATTTGTTTACCCTTTGAATGTAGGGCCATTTTTTTTTGTTTGCCATTTTATTGAAAGTTGCAATCAAATGATTGCAGTATATGTCAGTTCAATCGACCCGTATTTTATTTTTATGTATATCTTGTTTATACGTTTTCCCTCGAGGTTTTCAATGTTTTTATTTTTTTGGGCCAGGAGGAAACTTTGACAATTTCGTTAACTAATTGTCAAAAAAAAAGTTATTGTTTTCTAGTTATGCAATGCACTTTTTATATTAAAACTTTGTGTTTGCTTTTCTATTTAAAAGTTTAAATTACCTATTTTCCGTTTCTTCATTGCAATGCAAACATGTAGTTTCATTTAAATTCCTTTGCCCTTTATCCCTTCTAATTGCTTAATAAAATAGTTAGGCAAACTCACTGTTGAGCTGCTTAGCCAAAGTTTGTTCAACCTCTTTCCTTAGCCTGCTATTCACGCTGAACAAATTCCGAGCAAATAAATAAATAATTGAGTTACTTTCGTACCCAGGGCTAGGGAGAGAGTGTGTCCGGGCCAAAATTGGCAAAAACTAGATTTTCTCATCATTTAAATTGAAGGCAAATATGTATGTAGTTGAATTTCCCCTCTGATTTTTCCATCAGCGTCAAATTGAAAAGTTGCTACACTCGAATGAAATTCGTAAAAAAAGTGCACAAAAAATCAGGACGAGGCAAAGGGAACTCATGTGTGGAAGTGTTGGTATTAGCCCAGTAAACTTTATCTAAGCCAGAAAGGATACACTTTCCAGTCGCCTCTTCGTCCTGTTCACTGCATTTCTTAATTGGCGATTAAAGTTAATTGAAAACCATCTTTATACTGATTGATTGAGACAAAGGCTTAAGTCCATATTTTCCTTTAATTTCCGTAACATTTCTCCATTCTCACTGGTCTAGCATAAGCCGATTATTATGGCCAAGAACGATATGAAAGCTTGAGGGGAAAATATGCCTTGCTCCAGGATATATTCTCAAGAAAAATGGCCCATGACGAAAATCTTCTTGTCAGCAAACTTATCAAAAAGAGACGGACAAGGCAAAGATTGAAAGAGACAAAAAATGGGACTAATTAATTTAAAGTGCTTTGACAATCAGCATCTGTCCGACTTTCTGGCTGAGGTTTGGGGAAGATGTGGCAAATTATTGTGAAACGTAAATACAACTTATTTAATATTCAGGAAAACAAGCTATAATGAGTTTAAAAGTACCGGGAATCATGAACTTTAATAACCTCATTATTCTGTCGCCATTTAAAAATGCTTCTTATGTATATTTTTTCAGTGTATTTTATCCTCCAATCACCCTCATCTTTCTTGCTCTCTATCTTGTCTGGCTGCCTAATGAACGCCCAAAAGTATGCAATATGTAAAACTTAGTGGCTGTGAGCGGAAGTCTCTCACTGCACTGGCAATAAGCGCTGACATTTATTAATGTTAACGCATCAACAACCATCGTTCCGCCCAAAAACCAAATGGTGTGGGCGTGGCAGGAGCTATAGAAGTGGAATTAAATACGCATTTGCCCTGTCAGCTTCTCAGTGAGCGAAAACGACTTTGAAGAGCGCGCGTCATAAAAGTTCCTGAAAGCCGAAAGCGGAGTTTAAGAGATTTACTTTGGCCAGCCACCCCTGAAGATAATAAAAATGTTAAGGTGCCGGTGCTTATTATAAAAATGGCATTAAAACGACAAAAAAGGATCATCAGAAGAGATAGAAGAAAAAAGGCAAAAGAGTCCTTTCTCAGTTATTAAAGTGGATTGAAGAGGCAATTGTCAACGCGTCGAGAAGGGATTTAGACAGTTCTCTCCTGTCTAACTGACAATGGCTCTAAAATAAGGCAGAAAATGGCAATTATTGTTGAGCATTTATCTTTAGAAACCACTTTGGATATCTCTGCTCATAATTGGGTAGAGATTTTCAAGTGAGAATTAAAGGGGGTTGAACATGAGTTAAGGGTGGTAGAAAGCATAAGTATTTCCATGGAAGACGGCCCTCGTATAAACTTAAAACGCATTTATAAACTATAAATGCGTATAAATTTAACACCTACGGTTTTCAATTATTTTTTATAGAAATTTATGTAGTTTGTTTTTCGTCTAAGCCCCAAACTTTTTCCACAATAATTCCTTTGCGTCATTTTTGCCATTTCCCTTACAAGGCCAAACAATATTTCAACCTGTTCGTTCGTTAGTCTTCCGTTTCTCACTTTTTTCGACACAATATTACAGAACTTTTAACTTTGCCCTGCAGGCCAACGCTTAATCCCATGCATGTAGATCCAGCTAACATAACTCATACGTATAATTTTATTTGTGGCTTTCTCGTTGGTTTTTCCCCATTTGGCGCCAGTGGCAATTTGACGCGCAAATAGCTAAATAAAAAAAAAAATAAAAGTTTATAAAAAAAAGGGGAAAAGTGTAACAAAGGTTTATTTTTTCCTGCACTCGTTGGTGGCCACAGAACTTATGAAAATAAAATAAACTAAAAACACACACACACACAGATGCAGCAGCGCCCAAAAGTCTGCAATTGTTAAACTGTTATATGGCCAAGACAGCATCCCAGAAACTGTTATACAATCGTAAGGACAATGCGCATGTTCGGAGAGAAAAAGGAGAGAAATCTAAGATGAAGGGCGGATGCAGTGGCAGAAACAACAATTTTATATGTGAAACACCAAAAGCAGCAAAAGGCCACAGGCTTAGGCCAAAAAACGTAACAACGGCCTGACCTTCACCATTACCGCATTTCTTTTTTTCCCCCTCGTTTTTTTTTGTGTGTGTGTATGTGTGTGTGGAAGTGGGTATGCTACTTAGTGGGGGTGCAAGTGGGGGTGTTTGGGTTGGTAGTATCTGC